ATTCTGTCGTAGTCGCACTCTCCCCTGTAGTGGTGGTCGGGGATTCTGTCGTAGTCGCACTCTGCCCTGTAGTGGTGGTCGGGGGATCTGTCGTGGTCGTCTGCGGCTTTGTAGTGGTGGTTGTGGGTCCAGTAGTGGTCATTTTCGTCGTTGTCATGGTGATTGTGTGCCCTGTCGTGGTATTAGGATCTGTAGTGGAGGATGGGAGATCCGGCGTAGTCTTTGTCAGTATTGCAGTGGTGGGTAAAGGTTTTGACGCAATTGTCGATGTCGTTGTCGTCGCTGATCCTGAAATCGTGTCGGAAATTCAATCAAAAGAAGTGTTTGCAGAAAAGCTTTCAAATAGCTAACGAATCGACACATGTCAATGCTTGAAAATTCTAAACCTTCAGGAAAACAACAGTTAACATGAAAAAACACACCAAATTTCACATATTTTTGCTAACCGTTAGTGATTTTTTCGTTTTGCTACTGCTATATTTGTTTCCACGGATCTCTTTCACTGAGGGTCCTCTCTCACTGAAAGATCTCGAGCCGGTTGGTGGCGAGGCTACGTGGCGCGACCCCAGGTGGCGGATAGGGGGTAAATCGCGGACCAAAAGCCACCATGTACTTGCCCTGAGACGCAGGTGGATTCAGGGGATGGACTCCCTGTTTCTGTAGTGCTGTGTTGATTCATACCAGCTGTCTCCACTCAGGCGTATCCATGCATGCTTGCGTGTGTGGTGCGCTCTGTGTGTGTGCGGTTGGTATCCTGCATGTCGGCACAGCCAAAAGCTTGCATTCAAGTGACTGGGAAGTACATGGGAGGCGATTCGGGGCCGCCTCCAAAAAATAAGCCCCTTGTTCCGCTCCAGGATAGCGTGGCTAACTACCTGGAGGTCTATCCTAGCCCACACGACAGAGCCTGGCAAGCTACTCGTGTGCCTTCAATATGCCGAAAACAGCAATTTTAATGGGCCTCATTCTCCTGAACCTGAGGGAGCCCCCAATACGGCTGCAATGGGTAGGACCGCTCGGGAGAGGCTGCTAGAGTCTCAGAGCCTATAGGCTGCCTAAACGAAGAAAGACTAAGATGGTGATTTACACTTTC